CTGAAGCGTGAAGGAAGAGAGGCTCCTCAGAGTCCCAGCTGAAGCTCTTCTTATTCCAAACTCTTTGTATGGAGCGTCGCTGCTGATAATCCACTTTGAGCGGCACACTGGACAGAGGAGAAACTCTGGAGGCCCGAGCAGAGGGACTGTCTCTCTTCAGGAGGGATTCAATAGAGAAAGGACTGCTGAACTTCACCTCACATCTGATCTGATCCCCTCTGCAGGCTGCAGGCTCAGGAGAGGGGACAGCTGAGCAGTTCCTCGATGCTCTGCTCAGGTTCTCCGTTTCCACTTTGGAGGCCAACTCTGGGAAGAGCTGCAGGATTCCTTTGAAGTGACGACGCGCCATCTTTGCTGTGATCTGACCACAGTCCAGTTTCCAGTAGTTCTTCCTTATGAGATCTGGGACACCTGGAATCTGGAAAAATACAACACAGGGTTCATAGACAGAGCTTAAGTTTAATAAGGAACATTTCCATGATCCAACATTTTTGGAAAGAAAACTTACCTTGACAAAACATTTGTTGTTTGATAAACAAACTCTGATGTTGTTCTCAATAGTCACTATGCCATCAGGGATTAATGGAGCCAGTCTGTCCATCAACTAAAAAAAAAGTTGAAATCAACTCACAATCAAAACATGTTTCACACGGCACTTTTTAATAATTGCAAATGTGTTGACCCTTTCTTACCTGAGTAAAGGTGAGCATCTTGCCAGGAGCGTCCTGCAGGGTGACAGCGATCTTGGCCAGGTAGGTGGTGCTCTTCCTGAACAGACCTCGCTGAGAGCTGCTGGCTGGACTGGAGAGAGATCCAAACTTCTCAGGCCTGGTCTGCATCTTGTTTTGAGGAGTTGGGTCCCAAAGTAAAGATGTATGTGAGAGAATCAGAGGAGTCAGGAACACACAGAGGGGATTTCACAGTCTCACTGAGAACAGATATGACCAAAGGTGGTCAGCTCTGGATATAAGTCCTGTTGGGACAATAGGATATCAGAGGGTGTGCACTGGATGTTAATGAGAACCCTTTGAAAGTTAGATGAGCCATTAATGCTGGAGGTGGAGCCAGTTAACACAGAAAAGGTTTCAGTATGTATATTTTGTCCTGGAAATCCCGTAAAGAAAAACATGTAATATGTTCAAAAGGAGTAATTTACATTACATTACATTACATTACATTACATTGCATTTAGCTGACGCTTTTATCCAAAGCGACTTACAATAAGTACATTCGACCAGGAAGACACAACCTTGAAGAAAACAGAATCATATAAGTACATCAGGTTTCATAGAGCCAAACATTTCAAGTGCTACTCAACTGGCTTTAGATAAGCCAGTCCTTTATTAGTATATAAGTGCTTTGTTAATAAATCTATCGCTCGAAGTGGAGTCGAAAGAGATGAGAGATTTACTGATATTCAAACATCAAGGATTTGATTTATTTTCAATACGTTGATTACAGTCAGTCAGCCAGGGTTTTATGCACCCTGTGTTTGCCAGTGAACTCATTTTGAAAAAGGTCTCATTCCCATTATTTCAAAAGGGTTGTTATAGTAAACTGTACCTGAAACTAATAGGAAAATCTGCAGAGAATACAATAAAAAAAAATAAACAGCAGATGTAGGGGGCATTCCTACGGAAGAGGATTAGGGCCACATGATTTTTTTTGGGAGGATTTTTTGTTCTGAAAAAAGTCAGAATTCTGACTTTAATCTCAGAATTCTGAGAAAAAAGTCAGAACTCTGAGATTAAAGTCAGAATTCTGACTTTTTTCTCAGAACAAAAAACAACATTTTTTTTTCAAATCCTCCCAAAAAAATAATAATGTGGCCCTAATCCTTTTCCGTACATTCCTAAACTGTTCTCTACTATTGTATATTGTATGTGCATGTATACTTTTGAGATATTTTTCCTAGCCCTAACAACAACTAAAAACAATATTTTAAAACTACGCACTTACTGAAACTAACAAAAACTAGCACACACTTGACTAAAATTAAGCTTAACATTTTTTTTTTAAAGGCAAAGCTAAATGTATATGAAGTCCAATTGAAAAAAATATATTGTAACCTTCATTCTATAGGTACATTTTAAAGTTGCTTTTATTTTACCAAGAAGTAAACCTCTCTGTCTAAGAATTGAGCCAGAAAGCATTTAAATATATGTGTGGCAAGCTCACCATTGTCCTTATCAGTTTCATAAGGATTAAAAACAGACTCAGTTTCAGTATCATTACACAGTTTGTAATCATTCTCGGAAAAGTCAAGATGGCTTTGGGTCCTGGCAAAATGTTGGGTACTCTTGATCAGAAACTGGCTACTTACACAGTCTAATATTACTCTTTTATACAAACAAGAAAAGGTTCAAGTCAGCAAAAGCTACTTTTAATAGACTAAGCTATTCATTTATCAACTCATATTTTTCCCTTTCTCTAAAATGGAGAGGTTCTGGAAAAATACATAATACATATTTAGTAGATTAAACTACTGTGTCCACTCACAAACAAGTAGACCACTCGCAGACAACGGCTGTAATAATAAGCATTGGAATGTAACAGTCGAAATGGCTGTATTCATCAAACACAATGGTATTGAGGGTCTGTCTCACTTTCCAGTGATTTACGCCTCGTCGAGATTCATTCACATTCAGTTTGTCTGGGAGAATAGCAGAGTATTTCACTTACACACAGTAAACACGCTTTACATCCAAACCAATCCAACTTTAATGTATAGTACATCTAAAACAACAGAGTTGACCAAAGTGCTGTACACCATAAATATATTAAAAAGCAGCATACATACATTTAAAGGACACCGCTTCAGTTTTGTTTTTGTATAGAGATAATAGTGTTCATTGCCCTCTTCTTGTAATTCTTCAAATTCTTTAACACTAAATGTAAATAATATCCTACTTTTGTATTGTTTTAGCTCTGTTTTATCTTCTATTTTGAGATGTTTATATTGTATTAATGTGTATTTTCTACTCTTTATCTCTAATTATGCAATACTCTGATGTACATGCTGCTGCAATGAAAACAGTTCCCAATTTGGGATTAATAAAGTATATCTTATCTTAATGTGAAAGAGACTCAAATTAATCAATTTGAAACTTTGTATGTTATCTTAAATTAGACATACTTAATTTCTTACTAATATATGTCAATATTCTGTACTTGATAAATATATAATGCCGGATTTCATAACCACAGAGTTGTTTTTCTCGACAGCACACATCCACCCTTTTATTAACATGTGCATAACTAATAGCTAATATAATGGATAAACATTGTTTTTGTTTTTTAAGGAGTTACCTTTATTTCTATGAAAAGGACTACACCTCAAACACACCTTATTCTTTTATACGACTATAAACAATGATGTCTCCTGCACGCACATTCATTTTCTTTTTCCGAGCCCCACCCTCCACCATATTGTCTCTCCATCATTTCTCACAGGCTTCTCTGAACGCTCCACGGCTGCCATGCTCAGTATTACTCATTTGCAATTTAGTTGAGGGTATACTATACTGTAAAAGTTTTTTAAAATAACCACAAACGTTTGAGAGACTGCAGTTGCGATATGTTTTACAATATTGGACGGATTGATAATTTCCCCATCATTCTTCTCATTATCATTAAAAGAGCTGTGATTTTTTAAAAGGAACTGTACAACAGCTAACTTTTTTTAAGTCTGTAAAATATGACTTGTAGGCCTGGATATAGCACCACTTCATTCAAAATGTTATTTTAACACACTTTTAACAAATATTGTGCTTCAAGCTATTTAAATATTGCACAAGTCCTAGTTGAGGGTGTGCTCCTAAATTACATGGGCAGTCTGACTCATGATTACTAAGGTTACAGCGACATTATATTTCTAATTATTTAACAACTTTTCCAAGTAAAACCCTCTAAATCTGAGTTGACCCTTCAGGATTATTCAGACATCTTTCTTAAACTGCTACTTGTAACAGATCCCAAAGCAGCAGAGTCACAGATTCAATCACGCAAAAGTGAAATCAGCTGCTTAATGGTTTGGTCAACTGCAGCCTCAGTCAGAATCAACTTCAAAACTTGTTCTTTAAAGCATTCAGCCCAGCTAATGGGTGCATGCAAGTGAATGGGGATCACTGATAACCTTCGTCGTTACATTGGACAAAGGGATATAGGCTTGACTTTGAAGGAGTGATGAGGGATGTGCAAACTGCAAGAATGTGATGAGATTGCTCATTGGAATGTCACTGTCACCCAGCTGTGTATTGTGTTTTCTCACAGCAGCTATTGAGAGGCTCCAGACAACATCTTTATGGCGTCTCTGAAAACAAACTAGGTTGGACAAATTATAGGATGGAACCTTGTAGTTTGAGTTAATGTAATAATAGGCCACAGTAGCCTATCACAGCCTAAAGGAGGAGCACACACCTGCAGATAGTTGGGAACCAGCTGAAGTGAGTCGCTGCTCCACTGAGACACAACTTCACTGTGAGTACAACTACCCCAACAAACCTTGATTTACTGTGAATTCATTTTGTATTATTTTAATGTTAACTGTTGAAATATATTCCAGTTTTTATTTCTAATGATTTTATTAATCATTTAAAATGGTAATAAGATATGTTGGCTTATTTTAAGTAAGATGTGGACAACACTTTGTACATAGTTGTTGAATCATTGTTTAGTAGTTTAATTTGTTGATATATTGTTGCTTGGGTTGTGCTTCTGTATACATTGCTTAAGCCAAAAGTAAAGTCTTATTCATTTGTATATTTTGTTTGGATTGTTGGACTTCTATAACCTTTTATTTAAAGTCTGAAAATGTAACTGCTCATGAACAAAGAGGCAGATCAGGACCTCCATATAGACATGCTGATGACCCTTTGGAAATGGACTTTTACTGAAACCACTGGCTCCACCTCCAACATTAATGGCTCATCTACTTTTCAAAAGGTTTCATTAACCTGTAGTGCACACCCTCTAATGTCCTATTGTCCCAACAGGACTTATATCCAGAGCTGACCACCTCCCATCCACAACTGTTCTCAGTGAGGCTGTGAAAACACCACGGTCTGTTCCTGACTTCTCTGATTCTCCAACAAACAAGATGCAGACCAAGCCTGAGAAGTTTGGATCTCTCTCCAGTCCAGCCAGCAGCTCTCAGCAAGGTCTGTTCAGGAAGAGCACCACCTACCTGGCCAAGATCGCTGTCATCCTGCAGGACGTTCCTGGCAAAATGCTCACTTTTACTCAGGTAAGAAAGGGTCAACACATTTGCAATGAATTTAAGTAACACTATTTCATTGTAAAGTATTTAATTTTACATTCTGTTCTTTCTTATTCTACAAGTGTATATAGACTCCTGCATTTACTTTGCCACAACATTCTCAGCAACATTTAGCTTATCTTATTTTGTACATTTTAATATAGTTTACCTGCACTATTTTATTCTGTTTTCTTGTTGCACTATATTTATTGTTTTTTTAGATTTTTTTTATATATTAATGTTTCATTAATGGAGCCTGGGATTTAATATTTTCATTGCCCTATCTACACAGTAGCTACTGGACGATGAATCTTTGAATTTTGAATGTGAAACACATGTTTCGATTCTAAACTTAATCTCAATTTGATTGTTCTAGTTGATGGACAGACTGGCCCCATTCATCTCTGACGACAAAAGATCTGTTGAGAACAACATCAGAGTTTGTCTATCAACAAACAAATGTTTTGTCAAGGTAAGCTTTCATTTCAGATCTTTGCAAATTAACTTCCTTTTAGTATTTGATGTAACAATTAACCCATGTCTTGTATTTTTTTCAGATTCCAGTTGTCCCAGATTCTCTAGACAGTAAGAGGAACTACTGGAAACTGGACTGTGGTCAGATCACAGCAAAGATGGCGCGTCGTCACTTCAAAGGAATCCTGCAGCTCTTCCCAGAGTTGGCCTCCAAAGTGGAAACGGAGAACCTGAGCAGAGCATCGAGGAACTGCTCAGCTGTCCCCTCTCCTGAGCCTGCAGCCTGCAGAGGGGATCAGATCAGATGTGAGGTGAAGTTCAGCAGTCCTTTCTCTATTGAATCCCTCCTGAAGAGAGACAGTCCCTCTGCTCGGGCCTCCAGAGTTTCTCCTCTGTCCAGTGTGCCGCTCAAAGTGGATTATCAGCAGCGACGCTCCATACAAAGAGTTTGGAATAAGAAGAGCTTCAGCTGGGACTCTGAGGAGCCTCTCTTCCTTCACGCTTCAGATGAAAGTTCCCCCATCTGCTCAACAGGGGGCAGCACACACTGTGGACTCGCTGCGAGCGGAGCTGCTAAATCTATCAGGATGCATGTGTGCACGGAGTCCTCATTCTCTGTGTACACAAGAGCCAGAGGTGCTCCTTATTTCTCCAGCCCTCACAGCAGCTACATCACTGTACCCAATTGTACCCAGGATGCTTTCCGGTTATGAAAGAAAACGTTCCTATACTCCTGAATTGCACTTGTTCTACGTTATTCGTTTTTGAGTGGACCATACACTTCAGAGAGACTTTTCTTCAAAACCAGGCATACTTTCAAAACCCACAAGGACTGGTAATGGCCTTGTGTGTGTCTCACTGTGTCTATTTTCCTTTTATTTGTGGCTGTATTTTATTCATGACTCGTGGTTAAACTCCTGAGGCCTTGCTGGATTACTGGACTGGGAAATGATAACTGGGACATTTTTACATAATATTTTTGGGTTTGAGGTCAGCATCTGGCCTCAAGAGGGCAGTGTGATATTTCAAAGTTTAGCTTGCTCGTGATCCACACATGTCAACACACCCTTGTACAAAACTCTGAACAATTAAAGGTGTTTGTTTACTATTCTGGTACATAATTTGTTTATTTTTCACATGTTTTTTTTATTCTGTAATTCAACTAAACTCAAGGTATATAGGTCATGCAGTGCTGAGTGTAAAGAGAGTAGGCTACTACATATAATAAGGCCAGGGTTGCCAACTTTGGGTACCTGGCTGGAGTGAGATTTTGATATCATGGGTTTAATTACACATCTGCACACGAAATGACTGCTATCGTGTCAGTAGCGGGACCTTAGCATATAGGATATACATATACAAATACACAATATTGGACACAGACTACAAAGGGGCAAAGGGCACACAGGTTAATTCACTAATGAAAGTCAAACACATATTTGTTTCCACTGTTTTATTGTGTGCCTGTCGCAATAAGCAATTAATTGACTTAGAGTGTTTTTGTTGGGTAATCTATGGTAGGGCTAACCCATACAGTGGTGGGGCTCAAGTCAGTATTTGCAATGTAATTACATACACGCTCGCCTTGACAGTGAAACGCCACGCGTGAGGTTTAGATTATTTCCCTGTCTCAATCCAAATTGAACTGTATGAAATAAAAAGGCACATTTGTCTTGTAGTAAATAAAAAGGGCGACCTGGAGCCAATCCTGCAAATTCCCCACAAGTGAAAGAGTTGACATGCTGAAAACCCAACCCCTGTAGGGGGGGTCTGGGGGGATTCTCCCCCAGGAGATTTTTTGAAATACTAACATAAAATACACATTCTGGTACGCTCTTGAGAAAAGAAAAAAATACATCTATTACTACACGACATATTTAAATGAAGCTGAACCTGCTGCTCCTCACAGAGAGAAGAGGGAAGAGGCTGTGTGAATTACTTTACATTGTGGATAAGGGTGGATAGCCCCCATTGTTCTGTGTGTCAAAATGGAAGACAGCCCACACACCTACCAATCATCAAACCGTGGGGTCTTATTTCATTACGTGTTGATTTCTACACGTAATGTTGTATCGATGTATATAGAGATGTACTACAGCAAAAGTATTCTCCGTCGGGACTTCCTGCAACAACACCACGCCGTTATCTTGATTCTGATTGGCCAGAAGACATTATCAAAGATGTTCTATTGAGAAGACGATCACTGCGTGACAACAGTTTTCAAAACCGTTTCTAGTCTTCGGTATTCTTGTTTTGGCGTGAGAATAGTTTGGGCAGCGTGAGAGCGTGAGATTGAGAGTGAAAGCGTGTGTCACACGCCAGATGCGTGAGAGTTGGCAACCCTGAATAAGGCACCCCCAGAATAACCAAACAACAGACCATACAAAAAAGTTGGGAAATTTAAACTTTACAACCCTGAGGCGGCAGTCACTCTTTAAGTCCTTGACATTGCGTTGAGTTCACTGACCACTCTGGCAAGGTTAAGGTGAGCAAATATGGAAAGGATAACATCTGTTTGCGTTTCTATTTGCAGTACATCTGCACTGCAATGTACATTGTCTGAACTATAACCTACTTAGTCCGTTTAGACTTATTGTACAGGAACAAAATAGTTTTTGGCATGATCATCAAATCTCATTATTGGACCACTGAGCCGTGGAGGATCTAGTCAGGAAACAAAGGCCCAGAGTCAGGGATTAGCTAAATAAGACATTACATTAATTTCTAGTTTAAAAGTGGCTCTTTTCACACTGTGCTGCCACACTTTTACATAATACAAGCAGTCTTTGTCCAGAGGAATGCCAAGCATAAAGGTCTCCATTAACATTGTGCTGTGTCAGATCAATTGAAAGTCATGATCTCAAGCAAGTTAGGTTTTTATTTATGATCCACTAACCCCACACAAAACATTTAAACTTTACAAACAAGCTTTGTAGAAAGACAGCACATATTGACCTAGTGATTATTTGAGATATATAACACAATGAACACTAGAAAACATTTCCTATTAGAATGGAAATGCAACAAGTGAGGGGTGTAACGGTATCCGTATTCGTCCCGTACCGTCGCGATTCGGACGTCACGGTTCGGCACATGCAGTCACACGGCGAATACGCCTTTTTTTTTTACGAGTGGGGAAAAAAGTCTGTCACTCAGGGCAGTATTACACTATATATAATCCAGGGGGCGGTATTGCGCCTAAAAGCCAGCCGCCCGTAAATAACAAATGAAGAACAAAACACAACAAAACGGACACAACACATGAAGAAGAAAAGTTAGTAGCTACGGCGAGTTCACACAACACACAGGAGCTAGAAGACCCACCTGCTTCTTTTAAATCAGCTGTGTGGGAACATTTCGGGTTCCCTGTGAACTACAACAATGATGGGGTGCGAGTTGTGGATCGGACGAGGACGGTGTGTCGGCGTTGTTCGACAGCGGTCGACACGTCAAACATGCTCAATCACATCCGAGTCAGTCCCCAGCGAGAGGGTTTTCTCGACGGCAGGTGACATAGTTACCGCCACCAGAACTGCCCTCACTACTGACAACGTAGACAAACTCATCTTTTTGAAGAACAACTTGAAAATAGAGTAAAGCTTGAGTACCTTTATTTAGGCATAATGGCCTCACACACTCACAAGTGAATTACACATGTTAGACATTGCTCCTAAAGGTACAGATTGTATTTTGTTTTATATTTATCATTGTATTTATTTTATATTTTGACATCAGGAGATGTTATACAGTTCTGTATTGCCTTTTATTGATTGTGATTGAAACACTTTCTTATTATTTATTTTAATATTTTCAAGACATTCTTTTTAGTTGTACAGCTTATTTAACCTTTTTGTTTGACATCAGCCATTATAAATAATATGGCCATCTGAGTGTGTGTGTGTTACTGTTTGTGGTTTGTTTTTAACTGTGTAATACAGTTAATGATTCCAAATGTTAGAGTTCCTTATTTTCATACCAAAACTTGCACTACTGTTACAAATAAATAACAGCAAAAAAAATTATGCATTTGGGACTTTTTTTTGCTTTTCCTTTGTTGTACCGAACCCGTACCGAACCGTGACCCCCAAACCGAGGTATGAACCGAACCGTGACTTCTGTGAACCGTTACACCCCTAAAGTGTAAAACCACATTCAGAGTCGGGTTGTCCAGCACAGGTCAACATGAAAGTTTGTCCAATTAATTCTTATGTCACGAGTAGAAAAGTGGATTTCAATAAGCATACACATTCCCAAAATAGTGCAAATTATTTTTGATGTTGAATCTTGTCACCACGGCTTATTCGTGGTCCAATTTTGAGATGACTGTCTCAGTGTTTTGGTAATGAAGCAAATACCTCAAAGGAAAGTCATCTGAGGTCAAGCTAAGATGCTACTTCCTGATCACTGTGTGTAGCCCCCTTCTAGCCCCTATAAAGGTCAAGAGTTTGTTATCGCTGGCAATATCAGAGCATGTGAGTCCTGCAGTCGAACGCAAACAGAGAGGTCTGTCATAAGATGTAAAACTTGGCTGAACAGAGGGCAAGGAAGAGGAGTTGGGTGAGCTCAGCATTTGGCATTGTTTGCCCACGACATACTTTAACGTGGGATTACTGGTGGACGACCTAGATTGCAACGCCGCTCTTCTGCCTTCCATCTTTCCCCCTCCCTCCCTCCCTCCACTGACTGGTCAACACAGATTATACTCAGAGAGCAAAGCCTGGCAGTCATACAGAAAGGCTGAGTGACACATTGAGGGACGTGAGAGAACACCTCTTTCCTTTTTTCATTCCTTCTCGTTTTTGTTCTCCTTTATTTTGTTCCTCAGGCTGCTGTCTAATTTACACAACATCTTTCGCACATTATATTTCATTAAGGCCGTGATAAAAAAGGCCGTAACCGAATACAGAACCTGCTTTGTTTTGAATGTTTACAAGCCCAATAAGTGTTTAAAATATTATACCAGGAGACCAGACAGGATTTCAATACATTGCAAAAGAGGAAACTGGAGTCTACTGTAAAGGATTAATTTCTGACGCCGATTTGTGTTTACTGATTGAGTAAACTGGTTCAAGCTCTAATCCTTCTGTATGCTTAACTGTGCAGACGATCCTCACTGTATTTGCTGTATAGGTCAGTGTTGCTCTGGATGTCACAGATGTCCTGTCCTCCCACTATGTCGGTGTTTGTTTATTCGTCTTCTTACAAATCCTTGACCCAAAATGTCCTTAGTTAATTCTGATGTAAGTCCTCCTCCAAACCAAAATATGCTTGCCTCTAAGCATGACCTTGTGAGCGATTGTGTGAGCGTTTATGTGAGCGTGTGTATCCGGCTAATCTCTGGACACTTCTTATGCAGCATGTTTACAAGTAGGCCGGGAGACACCATGGGAACCTTCTGCACTGAGGACAAAACACAAAAATTAGCACTCAAACTTCCATTTCCTCCCATTTGACAGTGGGGCCTCGAGAGTAATACAATGTTTATTATTTAGATTATTACTTAATACTGCAACATTTTTACTATATAGCAAAACTACTACAATAATAAAACCACAATTTCAAATATTGCAATAATACCGCAGTAAGCAAAACACAACATAGAAACTAAATTACAAGTTAAATCTCTGCAGTAAAAATTTTAAAAGCATAGTTTCAAAAGTTAAAGTTCAGTTTATGCTGCATGACCCCTATCAGTGTTATATTCAGTTGGGAAAAAAGTACACAGATAATTTACTTATAAAAGTGTAATGTCTAAATATTCCCAATAACAAATACCTTTTTCTAAATTGACTTAAGCACATGTACAGAGCTATTATCAGCTAAATGCACGTTAAGTAGCAACAGTAAAAGTAGGCCTACTCATTATCAGAGATGGGGTCGTTACTAAAAAAAAGTAATATATTACATATTACATATTACTTTTTTTAAAAGTAATATATTACACTACTTCGTTACTCTCTAGATAAAGTAACTCGTTACTTTGCTCGTTACTTTACTCGCAGGGCCGGCCCGCCCCTCCCTACAGGCAGATCACGCAGACTGCGGCGCACCTAGTGTAAGCGCGCCACAGTTTTGCCTCTGCGAGACTCCACTTGCA